AAAAACCCAAAAACCACTTGGCCTTTGGATGAAGTGGTTTGCTTATAGCAATGCTGTTATATAAATTTAACATACATAGCTGGTCAGAGACCCACCTCTTTAATTCTGCTAAATCCCCTCTCCTGGATCATCCATCCACCAACAGTAGAAGGCTTCAATCACAGACGAAAAATGCAGTTGCCAGTTAGTAATTATTTTGGCCAAGCACCTTCCAAATGGTGGGGTTTTGTTTGGTTTGGTCTTTGTTTTGAAGGTGTTCATAGACACACCATCTATAACGCAGCTGTCTCCTTCGAGAACACACGCAGGATCACTCTTGAGGAAAAAAGGCAACGCAGAAAGAACCGTGTATTGCAGAATACACCATCTAAGGAGTCTTTCTGCTGTGCCTTTTGTAATCGGATATGTCTGTCACGTATTGGCCTCATAAGCCACCAGCATGCCTGTAGCAAATGTGGATAGAGCCTTCCCAAATCTTCGTTCGCGAAGCCCAGCCATGATGATGATGTGCATAACTTCATTCCATCCTGGCCTTCCAGTTTAATTCATTTGCCTTGCTATGCAAGGCAAAAAGCAGTTTTCCTTCAATGTCAGATGAACTCTGAAGTTCTAAAGTTGTTGGGTTGTTGTTGCCCACCAAACATAAAGAGGATCCATTAGAGGAAAAGCTGCTACTGAAACTATTTCTTTGTGAGCCAAGGAGTAAGCTTGCTTGCTGCAGGAAGGAGGAGACGACTCATTATCTGGATGCTGGGAGCCAGTGTGTTAGAGAGGCTCCTCTTCCTGTTCCACAAGGACTGAAGCGTCTCTGAGGTAAGCAAAGCAGCAATGAGATACTCCCCGGGCTTATTACCCACTATCGGCTGGATCTCCTGTTTGCTCCAGCCTCCACCTTTACTTGGAAAGTGCTTGCAATTCCATGAGGTAATTCTTCCTCCCAACGCTTGTGCTTGTTGTGACGACCATGTGCTCCTAGCATGAGCCAGGACAGAAAATGAAAAAAGTCTACCCCGAAATCCATGTGCTGTAACTTCCTCTTTCTCCATTCTGCCGGGGAAGGCTGTTGTGCTTCGCGTGCTTTGGCTCTGGGCACTGTGGCAGCGGTCAGTCCGGGCAGAGCCATCACCCTCCCGCCAGCCAAGAGGCCTGACCGGGTGCCCACCGCCGGTTTAGCCACAGGTGGGAGGTAACACCTGCTCGGTTGGCACCGGAGCCGGTATAAATCTGCGTTATTTTGATGAAGCTCGGATTGATTAGGAACAGGTCCAAGCTAACATACCATAAACACCTATTAAACCGAAATAAATACGTCTACAGGGGGCTCAGCTTAACCGGGTGCAGCTTTGCCTGCACGGGGGAGGCGGAGATGGCTGTGGGCACCACACACGGCGGCTCCCACGGGCGGGCGCCGCCGGGGACAGGAAAGCCCGTCCGAGCTGACGTCGGGGGGCGGGGGCGGGCGGGGGTTCCCCCTGGGAGGCGGGTAGGGATCGTTCCGTGCCGGTGGCTCGCAGCTCTGTCCCGAGGGATGGTGTTGGCTCGTCGCCACGGCAACCTCCGACCCGCGGGGGGAAGGGGCGCAGGCAGCGGTGGCAGGGTCGGTCCCGCCATCCCTCCGGGGCTCTCCCCGCCGCCCCGGGAGGCGCCCGGCACCAGCTACTCGCTCTTCCCGGCGGCCCTGCGAGGGTGCGCAGTCGGACCCCTCCCCATCCCGGCCGGGCGCCTGAGGCGCTGCCCCGCCGCGCCCGGCGGGAATCTGCCCGGGGCTCCTGGGAGTGTCCGTGGGGACACGGAACGGCGGCAGGAGGGGACGGGTGCGAGGTTGTGTGAGCGGAGCTCCTCGGGAGAGAGGGGAGGCGACGGTCCTGCCCCGCTGTGGCCCAGAGCTCGGAGCCGCTGGAGCGTTCAAAGGAGCGATGCCGTCCCGGAGCGGGAGCGCTGGGCAGGCGGGGGGAGCCCGCCCCGCCCCACGGGACGGGGCGCGGAGCCCGATGTGCGCGGAATCCTGTTCCCGGGAAGCACAATGGCCGTGCGGATGCCAGGCCCCTCCTCCAGCCCACTCGAGGCTTCCCTCCGGGATGCGTTTGCCTGCTCGACCTCTGCCCTTGCAGGCGGCCGCGTCCTCCCCTCGCCGCCCGCGTGTGGAGCCGAACCGCTGTGGGAGGGGTGCCTGCAGCAGGAAAATCATTGCCTGCGACCAGGGAATGAGGTTTTTGTGGTCATTTCAAGGGCAGCCCGGCCTGCCGCCCCCCTCTGACCCTGCAGAATCTGCCCGTAGCCCGTTCTGAGTCCCTCCTCTGGCCCAGCTTCAGCTGGAATGTTGCTGACCCGTGTGTTGTGGTACCGAGCCGGCTCCGAGGGTGTAAACAACAACCATATAGCTGTTCTGCTTAGAAAAAAATAGGAAAACTGATGGTTTTAACTTCTTTCACTTCATATTGTTATTATTTACAGTGCTATCTCCAAAACATTTTCAACTTTTATGTTAAAAAGTTGCTGCAGTGGAGGAAGAACACTTTCTTTCACTTTATTTTTGCATTGGTCAAAATGAAGGTGAGAAAAAAAGCAATGAAGGTAAGTATTTTGATCTTTATGTGATTAGACAATCGAACTTTGATATCTGTAATGTTTTTTCACAATACGAGCAACAGATAAATATTTTTACTGTCACCTGTTTTACTTGCGAATGCAGCAAGAATCTGTCTGGATTGTGTGCCCCTGCACATGCCTTCTGTACTGATACTGGCCTTAGTTTCAGTATAAATTAGACTGACCTCATCTAGAGAAAATAGAAATTCCTTATAAAGTCAACTTTTCCTTAACTAAAGTCTTCTGTAGATGATTCAGTACTAGATGTAATGCTTAGATGGTAAAGTTACATCTTGAAAAAGTGGAATAACATTTTCTTTTTGCTCTAAATCTTACAACTCAACAATGTGCTTAAAAGTTGACAGTGGGTACAGTCAGTATTTACCTGATCTGCTGCTTCAGTTTTAATTTGCTCTTTGGACAGCTAGAGTACACCACAGGCAAGCCTCGACATTTTGCCCTTCTGAGTAGTTTGTCATTGAGGAGGCAGATAACTAAACTATAAATGCAAAGAAAAACCATTTCAGCACTCACAGATGAACACCTCCTCTTTTTTTGACCTCCTGACATCCCTAGCTTAGGTGGGTTCAAATTAATTGGAGAAACACGTTGTATGGAATGTGTACTTTTAGGTGTGCGCTAATAGAATGTATACGTTGAAATACTATTTAATAGAAAGACAAGCAGCATCTGAAAAGCACATAAGCCTAATTGATTCCAGACACAACTGGCCTGGATTTTGTTTCCCCTTATTCCAACTTTCTGACCTTGTAAAAATTATCTTGATTGTGTTATACTAAAACAAGGCCATGATCTTGCAAAAACTACCATGTGTGCTGATGCTGAGAAGTGCCCAGTAAAGCACCGCCTGTGGAACGAATGCTGACAGCATTAGGCCCCAGCGTCAGTTTGTTTGTTTTCTCTTGCTTATATCTAATCATGGTGAAGCAATAGTCTCACTTCTGCTAAAAGTTTTCGTTTTTAAAGGAGGTGAAAAATGTGTAGTAAAACTTACGATTTGTGGGGAATTATAGGTTTTAAATTCTTAGAGAAGTTTAAGTTACTGGGATTTTATGGCATTTAGACTAGGGGAAAGATCAGTGAGGGTTTAAAAACACATATTGCCTGTAATTTTTTCAGGGGGGTGTGTGCGTGTGTGTAGTGGTATCTTTGTTTTTCAGAAGATTGTTTGTAGGGATTTGTAGGAGGGTTGAAGGACTTACTGGCTTTGATGATAACCCTTACAATACTGTTGTGCCTTTGTATAAACATGTAAAAGATACCTAGGACACCATAGTGTTAGATGTGCTGCTGTCTTTGGCGTTGGAGAACTTCTGAGCATAATAATATTTTCTGCTTGAAAAAAAATCCAAGACCTAGGTACACTGATCCTTTTATTACGGTAAGTGCTGTTGCTCCATCTCTTTGGGAATCTGTGCCTGGCTAGCCTTAAATCTCTGTGGAGAGTAGTGAGAGAGAAACGTCCTTCCAGCATGTTGAACTGAACAGATGATCCCTCTCTTTATTTCTCTGAAGGCTCTCATTTTGGTTTTTTTTCAGGATCAAGAATAAACTGTGTATTTGGGCCTTTGTCAGCAAGGTTCCCATGGGGCAATCCTTGTAAGCACTGGGATTGCCTATTTAGGAGCAGGGAGGCTTATAAAAAGCAACTGCAGGTGGAAGTGGGCCTTTTCCTGCTCCTCCCTTCATCCTGCTGCAATTCCCTTTCATCCAGGCCCTGAGAACTGCCTGCCTTTCAAACTAAGCTACAAAACTAAGAGAGTTGTAGTCACTTGACCAATATATTAGAATATCTGTCTTTACTTATGTTGATTCATCGATGTTCTGAGGAGTTTTGTTGTGTATAATGTACTACTTCTGGTGGTTGTACAACAGCAAATGTAACTTAAAAAATTAAGGTTACCTCTGAAGAAAGCAAGCAGCTTTTATGCATCATTAAACTTGGGTTCCAAGAAGTTGGCATCAATGTGACTGCCATCGAGTTTGGGCTTTTTAGCTCTTGTGTCAACATTTCTTATTTCCCTACAGATTGCAAGGTGGACATGGTGTGTGGTATGTTACTTACTAAATAAAAAAATCTGGCAGCATGTGCAGTGTTCTGACTCAAAAGTCGTGTTAGTAACCTGCTACACCAAAGATGACTATTAGCGCCGGCACCGCATCAGTTGTCTTTATGTTTTAGCAACTGTTTTACAGCTTTTCTGTTAAGTTATAGACAAGCTTCAGGTAAAAACCTGCCACCTTGGAAGCCTTGATATAATCTGTACTCTTGGTGCGAAAAATACGGCATGTTCTGGCTTGCGTTTTTTAAGAGAGAAAACAATCGGTCCATTGCTTAAAAGCTGTGCCGTTCTGTGCAGCGCCACTGAAGTGTGCAGCCTGTGGAGTGTGACCTGTGGCGTTACAGATGCAGTGCATGTCCCCTCCCTTCTCGGCAACCACAGGATGAAGGCACAAAGTCTTTCTGCCTTAACTGAAACAAGCAAGTTCTGTTCGTCTGCCCAGAATGTTCAGGTAAATACAATGATTGTGTAAGTTGGTTGTAATGCCCAAAGTATAAACAGTCTTGTGCACAGGAGAGGTGAGTTTCTTGGCAGGTTCTCAGGGGAGTTTCCCTCAGTGCTGCAGAGTCAAGGCGTTCCTCTTTAAGGATAAGACAAATTTTAGATATTTACGTAAGACAGGTGCAGAAAAGGTGCAAAATGGAGGATACAAAATGAGGTCTTGTCGGGTGGTGGTGGTGCTTTTAACGCCGCCCCGTGACTCTATATTTATTTCTTCACGTTTGGCACTCAGTGTTATTGAACACCTCTACTTTCAAATCACATTGGCATGGGTGGCAAGTATGCACCACCTCATGGAATCAGATCTTATATGTCTCCTGTGAAATGTAAGCATGAAGTAAGGTGTTCCTTTATCTGTGAGTTGGTGTTATCAGAGTACATTTTGTTAAACTCGGTTTTAATATTTGTTAAGGTTCAATTAATGGTGTATTGTTGTAAATACTTAGGTGATTAGAAGTTTTTTTACAGAGCAGGTGGTTGTAGTGGGTTGACCATGGCTGGACACCCGGTACCCGCTAAAACCTCTCTCTCACTCCCCTCTGCAACTGGACAGATGAGAGAAAATATAACGAAGGATAAGGACCAAGAGAGATCACTTATCAATCACTGTCTCAAAGTCGGGATATTAATTAAATTTATTACTAACAGAATCAGAGCGGGAGAATGAGAAGTAAAATAAATCTTAAAAACACCTTTCCCCCACCGCTCCCTCCTTCCAAGTTCTACCTCCTCCCCCTCAGTGGCGCAGGGAATGGGGTTATGGTCTGTTCATCACAGGTTGTTTCTGCCACTGCTCAGGAAGGGGAGTCCTTCCCCTGCTCTCTGTGGGGTTCCTCCCACAGGAGACAGTCCTTCACAAACCTCTCTGGCATGAGTCCATCCCAAGGGCAACAGTTCTTCACAGATTTCTGCCACATGGGTCACTTTTCCATGGGGTGCAGTCCTTCAGGCACAGGCTGCTCCAGTGTGGGTCCCCTACAGAGCCAGAAGTCCTTCCAGGAAAACCTGCTCCAGCATGGGCTCTTCTGTCCATGGGCTGCAGGTCCCTGCCAGGACCCTGCTCCAGCATGGGCCTCCCACAGGGTCACAGCCTCCTTTGGGCATCCACCTGCTCCAGCCTGGGTCTCCCTCACAGGCTGCAGGTGGATCTCTGCAACCCCATGGTCCTCCATGGGCTGCAGGGGCACAGCTGCTCCACCATGGTCTGCACCACGGTCTGAACCTCAGCTCCAATGCCTGGAGCACCTCATCCCCCTCCTTCTCCACTGCCCTTGGTGTCTGCAGAGCTGTTCACTTGTTCTCACTCCACTCTTCTCTGGCTGCAATTTTCATCTGCCCAACAACATTTTTTCCTTCTTAAATATGTTATCATGGAGACATTACTATCATTCTCATTGGCTCAGCCTTGGCCAGCAGCGAGTCTGTCTTGGAGCTGGCTGGCATTGGCTCTACAGGACATGGGGGAAGCTTCTGGCAGCTTCTTACAGGAGCCTGTGGCTCCCCCACTACCAAAACCTGGCCACAGAAACCCAATACAGCGGTTAAGCACTGGAACAGGTTGTCCTGAGAGGTGGTAGATGTCCAATCCCTGTAAACATCCAAGGTCAGTTTGGACGGGGCTCTGAGCAACTTGACTGAGTTGAAGATACCCCTGCTCATTGCAGGGGCATTGGACTAGATGTCCTTTAAAGGGTCCTTCCAACCCAAACTATTCTATGATTCTATGATCAAACTGTACTTAGCGAGGCAGTTGCTTCTTTTCTTGCAGTGAAGTGCTCCACAAGGGATACAGGTTCGGCTGGGTTGTGAGGAACTGCGAAGATGGTGCAAGTAAGTTTAAGTCCTTATATGTTTGATGAATGTATCTCACACTTTTTAAATGTCCCAGTATCCACAACAATGCAGGCTACAGTGTGAGTGCATTCCCCTTTGCCTCTAAGTTATGTTCTTTCCATCACAGAGTATTGATGCATATTCAGAGTTTCGGCCCTTCTCTTAAAGTGTTTTATGCCAGTGAAATGAAGACCACAGCTGCCACCTTCGCTACTGTGTTCCATGAGCATTAAACTTAACTATGTACAAAATTGTTTCCTCATCCTAACCATGTATGGGACTGTTTTCTCAGGGCTGGGTCTGAAGGAACAATTTATTTTACTTTTTTCTCTGTATAAACATACGATGATTTTATGCATGTCCCCATATCCTTCTGAAACCAAATTTTCCATGCACGCCCATCTGAAGAGAGGAAGGACAAGACAGAGAGGGAAAGAGACAGAAGAGCTGTCACCAGTTACTCTTCTGTGAGGCACTAGTATAGTATCCTTATAAATCCGGTGTAAGAAAACACAAAGAATAATCTGGATTGATGTAATGCAGAGCATGTTTATGAAATGTCTCAATTACAGCCAGGTGGGAGGACTACAGATGAGCAGTTCAGAAATCAAAGTGAACTTCCTAAGTGCAAAAGAAAAATAAATCATCAGTTTTGTGGAGAAATCAAGGTAGATGGTTAGAGGGAGTTTGTAGAGCATCACTAACAAAATACCAGTGGACACTGCAATGCTCCTGCGAAATGCTCTCTTAGGATTTATCAATAGGTGGCATATGTAAGTCATCAGAACAATGTAAAGATGACTCCACCGAGTGCTGGTAAGGTCCCAACGGCCACGTTGCCCTTGGTTTCGTGTTCTGTGCTGAAAAATAAAGTATAGGACAGTGCAACAAAGCAATAGGAGATGTAGAATATAAAAGGAAATGGTGAAGGAAGGGAGGATGTTTAGCCTGAAATATAATGTTTAGAGGAAATCGGATAAATTTTCCAATGTGTAAAATATTAGAAGAGGTTTGATCAACTGTTTTTGAATGCTGGGGGAAAGATGAGAGAAACCAGATCTGTACAGAGGGAAAATGTCTCAGATAGGATGTTAGGAGGGTGGCAGGATCATTTAAATTGGATATTAGGAGAGTGGGGGGAGATGCCACAACAACTTTTAAATCATTATAGTGAAATACCAGAACAAGCTGCTTAGGAAGTTCGGGTCTCTGCTTCATGAAGGGTTTCTAAGAACAGGTTAGACAAACATCTGTTGGGGATTGTCTGGGGCTACTTTATCCCATCTTTGTGTGTCCAGAGGGGACCAGATGGTCTCTTCAGATCCCTCTCAGCCCTCTTCCTACAAGTTTACCAAGCAGAGAGGGGAATGGACCTGAGTTTAATGAGAAAACGGTATCATCCTATTAGTTGATCCTCTTTCAGAATAGAAAAAGAATCAGAGAGAAACCACATTTAAGTTAACTATGTAAGTAAATGGATTTTTTTTAATTGTTGTTGACTTGCAGTTTTATAAAGAATTTTTAAAAAAACACATGGTTATTAAAAAAAAAAAGTTACCTAAAAAGTTATAAAACTGAACGCATGTAAAGTAGTCCTTACGGCGTTTGTGGTGTGACAGTTTCAAGAAACAATTTTTAAATGCAAAGTAGCAAAAATAGCACGTTTTTAAGTATTTTTCAACCATAATATAAATGTGTGTTTGGCCATGGGTTTTACATTGCCTCCCATTTGAAAACAAGCAATGAGAACATCTGTAGGTATATCTGACTGTATACAACAATATTGCACCTGAGTCGTTGCATGTGCAAGCCCAGGAAATAAACATGAGAAATCACTCTTGCTCCCCAGTCCACAGAAGGAACAAGTTTTTCAGTACCTGTTCTGAAAAATCTGTTTGGAAGGCCAGCTGAATGGGAACGTGAAAGTCAGTCCCTTGCCTCCTCGGCAGGTGAACTCTGTGACTGCAGTGCGCCTCCCTCCCACCCTCCTGCCTTCCCTGCCTGCGCGTTGGGAAGTTCCAATGAAATATAGCTGCTGTGGAAAGTCCTGCTCAGAGTGAGAAGACGTGACCTCTCGGCAAGTCAGATCCAATTTTACAGGCGGCTCTGAGTCAGGGCGGAGCCCGTGAACTGAACTTTGTATTTAAGAAGGAAGTGAAGTTGGTGGCAGCCCGTGTTGCTAAGCAGATGAGTTGCCGTATTTTTATGTCAGCTGATAGTTTCGGCGGGTGTGTGACTTCATTCTTAGATATGATGCCTTCCATTTATTAGGGACAAAGGTCAGAAATTGTCAGCGCTGCGATAGCTTTGTCTCTCCATATAAGAAGAGGCTCGTTCTGCTGAGCCGTCAAAGATGGAAATGGGAGTCCTTAATGCTGCTCATGCACGTTGAAAACAAAACCGACCGTGAAGCTGTCAGTTCATGTCATGATCCAAGAGCAAACATCCTCAGGAGCAGTGATGATGTGGAGTAGGTCAGTTCTGCAGCATTGCTCCATTTTTATAAGAACTCACTACTGTTCCCGATTAAAGGGGTTGCCTGGTCTTGTCTCCAGTAGTAATGGGAACCAGAGGCCTGAGGTGAGCAGTCAGTCACTGGCCTGTTAAATCAGAATTTAGCTGGAAAGCCAAGTGATCTTGCCTCGTACAACAGTAAACTAAGTGGTGAGTCTATTTGGGAGGGAAAGAGAGTTGTTTATCACCTCTGTGCTGCTGGCACGTCCATCTGTGAAGATCATCATGGGTAAAGTGGCAGTACCCAGCTGTATTTTGGGGACACTTGAGGGGGAGAGTGCAGGCAGGTTGGGGGCAGCTGCCTACAGCTGTGTGTGCACCCACACAACCCGCAGTGACAAGTTAGTGTGTGCTGTTTCAGGCAGCATTTCTACCTATTACCCCCTAAAAGTCTTTGGTTATGTCCTTAAGTTAGCCAAGAGAGAGCTAGATGTTGTTACCCTTGTTCTGAGAGAGACTGCTGTATCAGAACACTTCCTCATAAAAGAATTAACTTTGGGAGCAGTATTAATTCTTGTTATTGTTGGATTCCTGAAAGTGGGGCAACAGAGAATGCTGATATCCCTCAGAAAGCTTTGCCCCTGTAAGGCCTGGCAAAGGCGAGTGGAATCTGGACATGAACTGCTGGAGCTTGCTGCCCCTCTGCTTTTCTGGTTCAGTTCCACAGTTAAGGAGTTCCCTGCCACAGAAGTGGCTGTTTGGGCCAGTTCCAGCTTTTGTCACTCTGGCTGCCTTGAGTTTCAAAAAAAACCTCCAAACAAAAACCAACCAACCAACACAAGTGTCTACCCTGGCTCACCCTCCGTTCCCTTAGCTTGCTGGTGCCACAGGGTGGCTCCTTGTAGCACTTGTATTTCCAACACTTTTAGCTCTTCAGCTGAAATCGTTAAAGTTGTTCTTTCTGATATGAGTCTGCTGCTTCCTGGTACTTACCAAAATCCACGTGCTTTCAGTATTTCAGTGTGCTGTAGGTTGGTTAATGATCTCTTCTGAAGAAGAGATATTGTTTTCCTTCAGCATGTGGCATATCATTAGCATCTGTGCCCTTTTGGCCACTACCCACTGTTCGTCTTGTGGGCTTCCATTGCTGTGTAAATTTTGAGAAACTTTGAGTAAAACTTTCACTTGTGAAAGAAAAAGAAAGCATTTGTCTTTTTCACTTCATTTGGCTGAAACAATGTTCAGAGATTAATAAAACATGAGTGGGTGTCAGGGTCGTGTGATTTTGAAGCCACTTCCCAGCAATCATGGGACAAAACACGATGCCTTAGCTTGTCTGAGGCCGTGAAATGGCATCCTGAATACTGAGCCTGGAGTGCTCAGAGGGCAGCTACTCCAAGCACAAGCTTGGGCTCCTGGTGCAGTTTTACATCTCTCCTTGTACAAACAGAAGTAAAAGCAAGGCTGTGAGAGAAGTTGTTGAGGTTTGGGTACATCTGTACAGAATTTCCTTGGGAGCTTCAAGTTCCTTCACCAGAGCAAAAAAGCCTTTTAGAAGAAGCCAGCTGGAGGGCATGGCACCAGCACAAGCACTTTCTGTTGGAACTGATGTGTGGTTTGGACCATCACAGTGCTGAGCAGGTGAGGAACCAGATGTTCTTAACAGAGCTGCTCTCCAGCGAGGTGGGCTGCTCTGAGCTCCCTGTGCGCAGCTCTCAGAAGCTCTCAAAGAAGCTCAATATCTGGACTGGGTTGTCAGGAATGAGGCACAGACTGCTGGTGCCTTGTGGCCCGAAGGCTTCTCTGTGCATGGCTTGTTTGGGGACTAACGACTTCTGAGGTGTCATCTGCCGCCTGCAGAAGTGACAATGTCTAGATCTTAAGATCACATTTCACTGTACCTGGCTGTTAAAACAGATGCTAGTTCTTCAAAGGCTGCTGAATAAGTAACCTGCCTTTGTATTTTCATGTGATGCTAAATCATTTGCATTTTGTAATACTGATGTTTTAAAACAGATTTAAATGCTGCACAGTAATCTCAATGCTGTACTTCTTACGGAGTACATTAACTTATCTCTACGCAATTACGCCTGTCATACACAGTGACTGGCTCAGCTTTGTACAAACTATCCCCACCTTGAGAGTTTACCTAGTTAGGTAAAGTGTAGCAATTCGTTGGGGGTTTGTTGGTACATATACCCTTGCTCTGCAACTGCTGTTGAAATTCTCAGCCATTAATGCAAATTCTTTCTAATCTGCGAGCCAAATGGCTGCCTACATCAGATGGATTACTTCGTCCCAGCACATAAAGGGTTGGGTGGCTGGCTACAAGTGAATTTTCATCCCTGTCATCTCTTGGATATTTTAATAAGCTATTACCAATAAGGTTAATCATGAAGACTGCCATGTTGATGCTTCCTCACTCTCCTACGGAGCTGCCTTGATGGTAACTCATGGAGTTACGTCTTTCTCTTTGGGGACTGGCGGAAGCACAAGTTAAAGTTTCAAAAACTTTTCCTTCATAGCCACTATGCAATGATGTATATTGTCCATGTCTGGTACTACCATTGAGTGTGCATGTGTGTGAACTTGTGCCACACCTGGATGGTGTCCCACCTTGGAGTGGTGAAACCCCTGCAGCACTTTTCCTTACTGTCCTTTTCCTGTTCTCGCTGAGGAGTTGGAGAGCAGCCGTAACTCTCCCTGTCCTGTGAAAGTGCTGTTTGCAGATGCTGTTTCTTCTAATGTTTGAAAGCATTGGGAGACTCCCTGCACATTTTTAAGACCCACGTAGTAAGCCAGCTGATTTCACAGGCCACGGCCTGAGGGTGATCTATGGGACCCGAGGAGCTGGTTCTGTGCCATCTGCAAGAGGCATGCACTAGAGACTAGGGAATTCTTTTTTCCTTGGGACAAACATTTATCTAAGTACCTACCCATGTCCCCCCTCACTGCTGCTGCCATGCTAATATACTTCTTTTTCTTAAAGAAATGCTGCATTTCTTTGGTTGTCTCACCCTGTCACCACAATATTCTTTGAACACTTTTCATGCTTGGCAGCTTTGCGATCTGATTTCTGCTCAACAAGAAACTGAAACAGGTTCTAGAGGGAGCAGTGAGGCTGCTGGCAGTTGGTCTCAGAATGAGTTTCTCTTGCCCCTAAATCTTGGAGAACTTAAATCTTTGAAAGCAAGGGGAGTTCCAGGTGAGTTTACACTACACCAGGGTGCCTGGTAGAACAGAGGTACAGTTAAGTGATACACGCAGAAAAACAGACTTAGGGATAAGTGTTTCTAGGCTGTTTTCTGTCTGATCTGTCAACATACTGCAAGAGAAAACTGAAACTGATTACATTTAGTAACTTGGGAGGATACCTCTGTGTAGGTTTGTTGTTTTTTTTTCTTTTTTTTGCAAATTAAAAATAGAACAATCATCAACTGGGCAAATTTGGTGAAGGTATACTTGGGGCATGTGGTGCTTCAAAGTGTTTTTTTAAATATTACTTCCACTTGCTATTTTTAACTTCACGGAAGACCTCGGTGAAGAACAGGGAATGTATTCTACTGCACCATCACGTGCTATCAGCTTTTCAACACATTTTTCAGTCGAAAGCATGGGACAGCAACACCTCCCCAGCTGCTGGCCCCTTTCTGAGTGATTGTGCGGGCCCAACTGCACTGGAGCAGGCAATGCCTCTCCAACCACAAACCGTCCCTTCTCCCAAAAGGTGCTTTCCCCCTAAACCCAAGAGAGATTGAGTAGGCCAGACACAAATGATACGATGTGGAAGAGTGTCATACTTCCTCTGGAGAAGCCTGAAATATTTTTGCAGCTGTAGTGGCCCCCATGGCTGCGGAATTGACACGGACACCTGGACTGAGGGAACCAATGACCCAAGTGCCAGAAAAGCTTTTGACATCCACGTTGTCCGTGTCCGGCTCCCAGCTTACTAACTGTGTGTTGAAAGAGCGTAGAGGAAAAGCTGTGTGAGATCCTATGAAGACGGCTTCTCTCTTTCCCACGGAAGAGGTACGAATGTGAGTGCAACAAACAGCCCCCTAATAGGAGTGGCAGGAGCTGGAGGGGGTGAGTGTCTCCCTTCTCGGGAGCATTGCTACAAACAACGATGGTAAAAAGTTATCTCGTCAAATGACTCGCTGAAAATTCCTGTAATGCCTAGTATCTTTACACTGGGTTTACGCTTTAATCTCTTTATACTTTTAAGACGCTTATTTAGTTTCCAGAGCGATGCGGGGAGGACCGCTAAGCGCGCTACTGGTAATCACTTTTAGGTGGGATTTGTCTCATTTGCTTATGGAATGAGTTTGTTTCGGTTTGTATCAAGAATTCGAATGCATCGCTTACAAACGCGGCGGCGGCTGTGCCGATGCGGTGCCGGGGGAGCGCGGCCCCGCCGGGACGGGAGCGCTGCCGCGGGCGGGCAGCGCTTAATGGCCGCTTCCCTTTGAAAACCCGAC